GATTAATTATATGCATATATAACTTTCCAATCTTTCATAAATGCAAGGAAACAAAGTCATGGAGATATTCGTCTCCTGAGTACCAGTCCTTGAATAGAAAAGTAGGCGGCCCTTGTGAGTGCCTAATCTCAGGAGGTGTTTGGGACTGGGTTTCTGGGATTCTTGGGCTTCCTTAGTTTATGGGACGTTAAGATAGGGTTTAAAGTCCCAAAAGTCTCAAAATCTCAAAGCCCTAATCCTTGGCTTCTTTGCTTATCTAATGAGGCTCACCATAAAAAACCTCCTCGGGTGACACCTCAACAGCTCTGTCTTCGATCAAGAAAGCTTCATCTCTGATCAAGATAGCTCCACCCAGCAATCAGATCTGTTTCTGTTCAGCTCCATCTCCAATTATGTTGTCAAGCAACTGGCCTTGTTTCAGTGTTTTTCCAGTGTGCCACTCTCTCTCAATATGATTAATGTTTGATGTTCTTTTATTCAGTGTTCAATCATCTGATTTGTTATATTTCAGCATTGTTAATTTTCATCCGAGTTTCATTTCCTTCAAAAGTCAATGTGAAATTAGTTGTTGCATATCACATATTTTATTCAGTGTGTTGAAGTAGCGGTCCATGTTGTATGTTCGCTGTGTGTTAATGTTGCTGACGGGTTTGTGTCATGTAGGGATGACCTACATTCATTTATCATCGTTGGAGTACCTTCTGAATTCTCTATTGTAGATACTCGTATTCAAAATTCTTTTCAAAGGTGTACCCAAAATCTAGGAACATATCAGAAAGGGTTGTTCAGATATAACGTAGTGAAATAAGATAATCTACTCTATGGATTTACAAGTTCTGCTGTATTTTAGAAGAATGTGAACTGTAATTTGGATTTCAATGAAACTGAGATAGAAAAGCAGAAACTGACGTGCTATTTGAACCCACTCTAGTTAAGATCTTCTAGTTTTCTGATGCCATGTTCTCCTGCATATATACATCCCTTCTTTTGTCAGTACTCTATATTGTTTCAGATGAAGTGAAGAATTATTATGCTTTTTGTTAACTTCAGTAGTTGTTGGATCTTGGTTTTTTCTCAATTTTGTTTATTTATTTATATTTATATATTCTTCTTTTGTTTAGTGGGCGAGGTGTTCATTGTATTTCTTAAACTTGTGCCTCTTTGGTTGCTGATTACCAGCTGTACATAACTAAAAGAAAATAGAAGAGAGGAAAAAAAACTATCCTTTCATCATTTTCTGAAAAAGATCCCATCAAAAGTTAATTGTTCAACAACATGAGTGAAGAAAACCGACTAGAAAGCATTTCACTAAATTTTTAATATCCAGCACTTTCTTGTCTTAAGTTCTGGGGAGCACATACCCACGTGAATGCATCACTTTACATTTAATATATACATGGCTCTATATAAAATTTATATTCTTTATGCCTAACTCCGGTAATTACTTCCACTTCTTCTTCTTTTCCATCTCCACTTGAGTAGTTTTTGTCAAATGGTATAACTGGCCTTGTATTGAGAAAATTCTTTGTAGATTCCTCATTCTATATTAAATTTGTGGTACAAAATAAGTTATTTTTATGGTCTGATTCTTTTTTATCGATATTCTGATACAATTGTTAAACGTTAAAGTAAAAATAAAAAATTAAAAAAGAAGAAGAAGAAGAAGAAGAAGTAGAAGAATTCCACTGTTTGGATGCTCTTCTCTTGTCTTCTGCTATAAAAGATGATTTGGAGGATTTTGTTTCTACTTTTCCTTATTGAACTGAATAAATATTGAGCTTCCATTTTGTACCAAAACTTGGTGACCTCATGGTGGACAGAAACAATAATTTCCAGTTTGGTGAGCTGAATTACTAGGTCTTTTTTCTTTTCTTTTCTTTTCTTTTATTTTCTTTTCTTTTTCCAAGCTTAGCCCAATCATTATAGCCAAAGTCATGGAGAAATAACGTTATTATATTTTTTGCTGCTTATTACAGAGTGGATTGGAGACCTGGGTGTTAGTAACTTTCATCTGTTAATGATGTTCCCCAGTATTAAAGTATATAATTTCTCATGCTAATAGATAAATCACACCATGAAAATGTAGGATTCAATGTATTTATGATGAATCATGCATTTTCAGTTATGGAAAACTCAGGCATTTATTTTGTGATTTCTGTTCAGCCTTACCTTTCTCAATTTTGTTTCTTCAGTTCAATTAAAATAATGTCGAGGGTCAATGCCAGTTTTTTGCCCAATGTAATTTTGAGCTTTTTTGTTATCCTGTCTATTAAGGTAGGTAGGCACTGCTAGTCGACTTGGAAACCTGTGCTGGTGTTGGAATGGAAAATTGATGATTTCAAAATTTAGATTCGTTTTTCTCACACCAGATTAAAGATTTCCATTAGCGAAACCAAGTTGCTAGTGGCCCTACATGTGTTTTCAGTTTTGCTGCGCTGGCTTTTGTTTCTTTAATCAGTCATGCAAAGATGCCATCAGCTATTAATTGAAATAAACCAACAGTGGTTTCTGCATATTTTTGAAGCCCATCAGTATTCTTTCTATAGTTTAAAATTGTCATCAGTCACTGGTTGACAATCTGGAATTTCTTTCATCCTATTCTGAATCACCTCGCTTAGACAATGAAGGTGTGTCTTTTTCTGCTTGCATTTTTAGATTTGTTAACCCACCAAGGTCTTAAACGGAAACAGAATGACAGAAGATGAAGTGCAAACAAGAGTTTATTAACAAAAGCAGCTGAACCATATGAATTACCTCAACGGGATTGAGCCGCACATAATTCTTTGTTACAGATTTACAGACTTGTTACTAGAACGAAACTGATCCAAACAGTAGATTTTAATTTTGAATATGCTTTTATGCAGCCGTCTCTTTGGTTCTTTGCATTTTATTTTCTTTAATTTGTGAAATGTTAGATGTGGCTTTTCTTTTTCTTTCTGGGGTTTTAATTTTGACGTGATAGATTATATTGATTCATTAGCATAGTTTTGAGCTGTATTTCTTGTTCTTTTGATATTTTTCAACTTGTTTCCAAGCAGGAAGTTTGTTTCAAGTCTCTAAAATATTAAATTTTGGGCTAGAGGTATTTTGCAGCAGACAATTTTCTTGATGAGGTTAATTTGGATGGCCAAGGCAAGGGGATGGCCTTCACATTGAGAGAGCTTCTTTGCTTCCAGACTACATCTACATAGAACTATTACTACTGTAGACTTGCTCCTCTCACAGTGGAGAAAGTTTCCTTTCAATAAGTTCTTTCTGATCTGTGTTTCAGAGTCTTACTACAGCAGTCATCTTAGTTTTGTGAAATTTGAAATGATATCTAATGTAAATTGATCTTCTAGGTTGGCCTCCCTGGAATCTCCTTGAGAAAGTTTTCTTATTTTGTGTGAGCTATGGTCTATAACAAGGCTCATTCAGACTCTCTTTACAAGAAGTTCTTGGTCTGAATTTTTCTCTTGCACTCTTCTACTGGAGAAACAGTTTCCGTCTAGCTTTGGGTCAGTGATCTAGGCAAAAATGAAAGTTATAATTTTTAAATTTTGGTTTAGTTTTGTAAATGCCCCTAAATTGTGATATAAATAAAAATATGTACCTATAAACATTATTTTGGTACACATAATATGGCTATTTTGTTCAATAATTTTAAGAATATTTATGGCAATTTTATCATAAAGGTCAAATTTTATTACTTCCGAACTTCCAATCCAATTTATGAGTTGAGTTGCAAAACAAGTTGTAAAATACTTTTTAGCTTAAGCTAATTAGAAATTGAAACGGGAACTTTGAAGCCACAAGCTCACAAGTCCGTTCCAAATTCTTATATGTATATTTAATTCTACATTTGTGGGTAATCGTTTTCATTTTCTTGCCTGAACTTTTTAGATACTACCAGATCATAAAATAATATGGGTTGTACTCTTTTTATTGGTAGGATTGGATGGAGAGACAAGTTTGGACCAGAGGTCTTATGAGATGTTTGGACCCAGTCCACCTAAAATATGACTTCTATCTCTCTAGAGCGTATAGCCCATTTATGATAAGGCCCAATCTATAAATTTAGATGTTAGGTTCGGGACAATGAAAAAGGATTAAAAAAAATAACTAAAAAGTTATTTTCTCGAACTCAAGAGTTCAATTTTTTTTCCTCTCCATATTTGAAGTCACAAGTTCAACTCTTAACTTTTTTTTCCGTCCCCTAACTTGGTTTCTATTTAGTTTAGACTGTTAATGTAAAAAAAAATATATATATACAAATTTGGGGATTATTGATTTATTTTATCGCTTCTTCAAGTCGTAGGAAAGAATAACGAGTTAAATGTAAATATTTGTAAAGTGTGTTTGTCAATAATAAAAGAAGAAACCATCATCAAACACATGACACGTGCTTTCCGAAATTATATAACAAGCACGCTGGTAAAGACTCTGCAAGACAATCCCAGTACAACAATTTTCATCTTTAGAAAATAAACTAATCTTCAACAGGAGAGAAAATTGGTATTTATGAATAATAATAAATAATTAACAAAGAATGTTCCATGTTTAATGAATGAAACACATAATATATAGATACGTATATATTATCTCTTCAAAAATTGGCTTTTATCATAAAAGGTAAAATCAATTTCTCTCAACTTTTCGAGAGCCAGCTTTTCCAAACGGTCAAAAGCCATAAAATTGATTTTACTCATTTTAAAAATAAACCAATTTTAAAAACCCAAAAAGAATCTTACATTGTGAAAAATTATAAGTATAGGCCCCACCGCCGCTTCATCTTTTTCTCCCAACCAACAAAGCACCTCCTCTCCTATCAAAAATCTTATCATTCCAGCTGCAATGTACTGACATTTTCCAACACCGACGGCTCACGTTAGTATAACCATGCAATGCCACGATACCTTACGCAGAAACCGTTGAACAGCATGTGACCCGCACAGATACAACCAAAATCCTTCCATACTAGAATTCTGGAATCACCGGCGGCGTAATTTAGCATAAACCTAAGCTTCCTCGCTAACTTGCGCATAAGGCGTTGAGCAGCACGTGGCCCAGCATGAGGTCGACGAAGTACTGGTGGCCAATCTCGCCGTCACGCCACCGCGCCTTCGCCGGAGCTCGGCCATAATGGACTCCGTCGCTGCAGCGGTTGTCGTAATGCCAGGGTACGTCATGTCGAAGTGGTCCACTACCCATCCCACCACCCCTCGCCGCCGCAGCTTCTCCAGCAACACCCCGTTGAATGCCTCCATCTTGCTCGGATTGAATGCCAACCGCCGCGCGTAGCCGCCGGTCGCCACCGTGCTCCGATATATCACCTCCGGCGCTGCCAACCCTCGTCGCCGCACCTCCTCGAACACCTGTTGCAGAAATTCAACAGATAATCAGACCACAAAAAATAATAATAGTAAAAAAAAGCAAATAAAAAAGTCAATAAAAAATCTGGAGGGAGAACAAACAGCCCCAAACAAAGTTAAAAATAAGGTCAAGAAAATTTAGGGGTTGTTCAGGTTTGTTTTGAAAATTCTTTTCTGTTTTTTTTTTGAAACAAAAATTTATTCGTCAACAAAACTACTTTTGGTAAAATAATGAAGAAAATAGCAACAAAGCTCCTTTAAGTTTTTAAATTTTTTTGACGGAGTACACAATAAAATCCATTAATCTAATTCACCGGTGATTCTGAAAAATTAATCTTAAAATTATCTACCTCCGCCCAGAATGCCGCCGCCCTCTCCGCCCCGTCCGCAAACCTCCGGATGTTCTGCCAGAATACTCCGTCGTGCAGCCCCGAGTTCATGACGACAGTGTCCGGCACAGTCTTACCAGAAAAATACCCTTTCAGTAACTCTCTGTACCCATCGTCCTTCAAAGAATTTAATCCCTGGTAATTCCCAGTTTCATTCTGGTGGCCATTGAAGATGCTAGTGATGCGAAAAACTTGGGATGGGTTCTTCGGATTGGTGATGTTCATGTCAAATATTCTCGGAACGGTTTTGATATCCCTCAAATCAAGGATGAAGTTGAGGATATTTCGAATCGTATCGCAGTGATTTGAATCGCCCCAGAAAAAAAACCACCGTCCGTTGAGACACTTCCAAGCTTCTTCGCCGGAGAAGAGCTTGAACGAGCAATGGGTTGAATATGTCCAGCCATTGCTCTCAAGAGACCCAAGAGGGCCATAGCACCACGGGGTTTTGCATGGGTAGGCCGGTGCAAAGCACCTGAACCGTCCCTCGCGGTCGATCGAGCAGGACGGGTTCTCGCCGTGGCGCGTCCACCGGCCGGTCCAGACGTCTCGTCGGAAGTCGGATTTCTTGCATGCGGCCATCTCCGGCAGGAGGGTTTTAGACTTGAAGAACTTGATCGGAAACTTTCGGAGCTCCTTATCGAAGGCGAATCTCTGGGGGAGAACTTAAGGCCCTCAAAGTGCCGGAAAAGTAGAATCACGGTGAGATTGTAGTCGCCGGCGAAGTCTTGGTGGATTTGGAGAGAAAGCGAGTAAGTACCGTTGCCCCAGTCCTTCACCGGTGGCCGAGACTTCCACGCCACGCCGGAGAGGTCGGTCTCGAAGTAATCACCGCCGGAGCACCGGGGCTTTCCCGACTCATCCAACGCCTGAAACACGAACTCATGTATATCCCCAGTTGACAGCTGGACTCTATCAAGGCCGTCCAGTTTCGGAACCGAAATCTCCACTGTCTTCGAGTCTCTGCACGGCGATCCTCCCGGTGCTAGCCAATCAGCGAGGAGTTTCGAGGTGTAGTTTGGCTCTAACTCTGACGAAATCCACTCCGGCGAAGCCTTCGCCAGAGTTGGAGGCTCTGTGAGATTTACAGAACTGTGGGTAGGGAAACTTTTACTAAAACTGGTGACATTAGCAGGGATAATGGGAATTTGTGACGATTTTTTCTGCGTTTGTGTCAGATTTTCTGGGTTGCGGTTGGGAAGTTGTGACGAATTTTTCTGCGTTTGTGTCAGATTTTCTGGATTGTGGGTGAGAATTTCTGACGAATTTTTCTGCGTTTGTGTCAAATTTTCTGGGTTGTGGGTGAAATTCTCGTGGAAGCTCAGATTGGGGTGAACTAAAGCAATGTAAGGACTGAAATTTCCCTGGTTTCGGTGCGTGAATTGGGCTTGGGTTCGATTACGGGTGTTAGTGAACTTAAGAAGAACAAACTCTTTATGGAAACTATTGAAACTCCATCCATCAATCCCCCAAACAATCAAAATCCCCAGAAAGAATGACAGGGTCAGGGCTTTAAACCCTCGCTGTACCATCGGATTCGACCGGAAAACCCATGGATTTGTTGCTTCAGTGTTGCCTGCTTTCTCCGCCATCTCTACTTCCGCGCCCAGAAAAGCAACACCACCAACTGAAATCCGCAATTATCTAATGGACATTCCCGGAAAACATGCCGACAGCGCACATTCCCGGAAATTTTGTTTATACTGGGATTTTTAGATAATAAAACTAGGAGAGTTCGTGAACTTACACCGGTGCTCACTGTGCAGCGAACCCAGAAGAACGGCAAGCAGCGTTTGGCTTGAATGCAGCACAAAACCTCTCTATTCTGCCCATTATATACGTTTATTTACCATATATATGTACGCATGCGATGTGTAGAGAAGATAATATAAATCAAGATAGAGACTGGATGAGGGTGAAGATGAGGGAGGGATGCAGAGGGGGATAGAGACGGGAGAGAATCCTATGGCGGACTCACAACAAACAGCTGCCGAACAGGAGGACTCCGCTATCGAGAAATTCTTGTTTGGCGATACTGCCCCCGGAAGTGTAATAGAATTACTGATGAGGACTGATAAATTATTTGAAAATAATATGGTATGTACCGTAGCGAAAGCGTCGGTGCGGGGGCAGGGCATTTATGTCTTTGCGATCATCGAGGAGCGGCCGTAGATTCGAGCCACGTGGTGTCAAATGAAACTATCTATATTTTATTTACAGAAATATAAAGTAGCCTGTTTAGTATTATTTTGGATCATTTACGCAGTCTTTGTCCCAAAAGAATGCGAGTATATTTTGTTAAGGTTAAGATTATTAAAAAATAAAATTTAAGCAATTTATTTTTTATAAATTTCTTCAGATTTAATTGGATAAATATGGATAGAAGGATTGCTTAAATTTTTAGATGACTCTCTTATCATGTCTATTAAATATAGAATAAAGTCTAATAATTTTTCTTATTTTATCTTTATCAACTGTATTGAATATAATCTTAAATCATACATTCTAAGATTTTTACTCAATTTTATTTTTGAATTGACATAATTTAATTGAATTAATAGAAACTGATATAAAAATAAATTAAACAATGTTAGAAAAATATATCATATATTAAAATAATAATTTTTGAAAAAAAGGAAAAGATTAAATGTTACTATGGAATAACATTTTTTTTTTTTTGGGACATAGCATCAGTCCTACATCAATATTTGACAACTTTCATACACAGTTACATTTAATATACTTGTCTAATTTTAGCCATACACACTCAATTTGTCTGTCTAACAAATAAACCTTGTCCTTTTTCTAAAATCTTGTTTGGGAGAACGAGGATGCTGTGCTGTTCTTTTAGCAACCAAGAATTTAATATTTGCTGTTTAAAAAAAATTATAAAATTTTGAACAGTATTTTTTTAAAATTATAATAATAAAATTTGGATTTTAGAATTAATTTATGTAAGGTAAAAGTTTCATCTAGTTAGGTTAAAGATTTTGATACAATGGTTATCATCTCACCTTTCTATGTAGTTTTAAATTTGAAATTTTAACTATATATAAATATTCTTTTAATTTTCAAGCATCAAAAGAGAAGTTTTAAAATAGTCATACATACCCAATAAATGTATTATAAGTAGCAAAACATTATTATATTTATATAAAAGAATTATATTCAAATATATGAAAATACACATTTTAAGAAGGAATAATTATAATATCATTAATAATATTAGTCTCGGATCGTAAAAAAATTAGTATACTTATAAGTATAAAAAAATTATAGAATATATTTATTGCAATTTTACATAAAATTAAATATTTTTTGACAATTTTGTAACTCTACTTGTACATAATTCAATTTTAAAATTTTAGATGTCTCAAAATAAAAAATTTAAAAATTATAAACTATTTTCTTAAGTTTAAAATATATGCTCGTCGAACCAACAAATTAGACTAGTGGGGAAAAAGTAGTTGCCATTTGAACCCATGGACTAACTTGGGCTTGTGGTGGTTCCCCCTCCCACGCGGTCACACGTTACAAGGTCTGTATTTCTAATTTTCTTCATTGAAAGTAGTCAAATAACAACCTTGACAACAACATTCCTTTTCTGCTGTGACAACGACATCGTGGGCGTGCATCCAAGTGTCCTTTTTTCTTCACCTTCACTCTTTTAAATATCAATAATTTTGACAACTCATGCATTTAGCAAAACCCTAAGTCCATTTAACTAATGCTAAACAAACTTCCCTCTCCACCTGACAGCGCCCCGGTCCAAGCACTCACCTGCTTGGTGGCCGTCAAGTTCTACTTTAAGTGTCCCCCTTCGATGTTCTAAAAATTATGGTCCTTGCCCAACTAATTCAACTTCCATATCAATTATATATATTTTTCTATATTATATACAAACACATTTTTTCTTTTTTCATTAAAACCAAACAAATAAAAAACTAAGTCAAGATTTTTTGTAATTAACCAAATAAATAAAATAAATAATTGATTTTTGATTCCCTAAAAACTGCAAGTATTAAAAAAATATATATCTCTCAAGCACAAACCTTGATATGTAAAAGGGCACTTTTCATGTTGCCAGAAAACAAATGATATAATTCAAGTGTTAAACAAAGATCCAAAGTCTAATAGACGTTCGTTGATCGAACTCTTCAACAACGAATTCTTGAATTCGAATAACATTTATCGATTTTTAAACTTTTCAAAACAGAATTTAGATGGAGTTTCAAAGAGATAGAGTTTTAGAACAAATAGGATTTTGAATTAGATAGCGTTTCGTGTTGCATAAAAATAAGTTTTTTGATCTTCTCATCACAGAGACAGCCAACAAGATATCACAAAAGTTCATGATGTTTACACACATATATATGACCCTATGAAGAGAACTTCTCTCTGAACAAGGTGGATAATATTAAATGGGTGTTTTTATGTCCTGAAGTGGGTGGTGCAGAATACACATTAACCAGGCTGGACAATAAGGACAGTAGATCATGTGAACGAAGGCGACATGCATGAATGTATGAATTATGATGAGCACGTAAAAACTAGAAGAGGTCGCCCCTGATAGCATTAATTCTTCTTGATAGCTGTAGGTAGGTTGGAGAAAGGAATTGAATGAGGGTTCCCATTTCCCACGTCAATGCTTCCAAACACAAAAGTCATTTTTGTGAAGGCTAGGGCAGCTAACCCCCTAATCTTTTTGGTATCTTTTAATTAATGAAGTAGTTTAGAGAAGACAAAAATTAATCTTTTAATTAACGAAGTGTCTTCTAATTAATGAAGTGGGTAAGAACTATTTACCTAATTGATAAGTAAAAATTTGAAAACTGGATCCATTTCAAATTTTGGAAGCTTAGACCCATTTAAAATGGTTTCCAACAAGCCAGCTTTAAAAGTCAATAAAATTTTCTAATTTGCAAAGTTCTGTTCAACACCAAACCATTTAAGTTAGAGTTATTGCCACAAAAATTTTTAAATTAAAATAATCTTAATGGAAATTTGATGGGTCCCAAGTGGGCAATGAACCCAAGAACAAGGAAATAATTAGATAAATTCTTCCGAAGTTTATGTTGGCCTGAAACAATTCAAACCACAAAGGATAAATAAGAGAAATTTAGTAATAGGGTACATTTTACAAATTCTTGCAATAGTTTTAAACATTGAATTTTTATAATATTTAATTAGTAAGAAATTAATTTTTTAAAATGAGAAATTCTTAAAATAAATTTATTGTTTTTATAAAAATTAATTTCTTATCATAACTATAATTTAGAGTTTTTTGTAATAGTATAAAAATTGACTTCTTTATTATGTTCAATTTCTAAGAAATTAAAAAATCTAATTTTTGCCATAAAACCAAACCCACTGAATTATGAAGATTTGAACTCTTATTGTGACCCGACCCTACGTCAATATTCGCAGGCAAAAGGAACACGGCGCATCTGTTTTTGAAAGAGGAGATATATTGTGGGTCAAGTCCCCTTTACGGACTCGGGCCAAGACACAATGTGGAGGGACGCGATGATCTGGTGATGGAAATTTCAGCCCCAATCAACGGCTTGGATCGCCTGTTAGCCTAGGCGGTACCAAACTCCAACCACTGCACTAGCGTCAACCTCCTATTTTCTTCTTGTGGCCCTTTTGGACAACCGCACTAAACGAAGATGCGAGGAGTGATTGGCCAGTCTCTCTCTCTCTCTCTCTCTCTCTCTCTCTTTGTTTTTTATTTTTTTGTAACATTGGCGGGAGTTTCTTTGATGTACTGCCTCACGCCTTCGGTGAGAGACAAGCATGCTGACGACGACCGACTAAACTATTTTGTGGAGAAGTCTTTGAGAACACGTATGATACGACTTTTAGATGGACTTTTTGGAGTTTACGTGTTCTGGTTCCAAGAGTTATAAAATTCTAAGCGCATTTTTGGTTTTATCGTTTTCTGTTTCTATTTTGTGTACAAATAGAAATTTTGGCATTTTTTATTTTTAATTTTTAAAAATATTATTTAAAATAGGTTAAAAACTAAAAATTATAAAAAATTAAACTCGTTGTTTTATCCACAAAATTAAAAAAAGACGGTGACAAACTTGTAAATAAATTTCATTTTATTGTTTTCTCTCATTTCGCTCGTCTATTTTCTGTCCCATCTCTCCGCAAATCTTCTTTCTCCTTTCGGTCATTGGTTGACTTATGCTTTAACTTCTTGTCATCTTCTTCTTTGTTAGCCTCATCATCTTCCAGGGTCCACGTCTTGCCACTCAACTCAGACGAGCAGGCCAAATAGTGCAAGTCACCCCCACTGGCGAGGGCCGGCTTCCCTACCTTCTCCGGTAGTGTGGTTGCAGTGCTGTTAGAAGACAAAAAGAAGCTATGGCAAAGCAATACCTGTAGTGAGAGGCTGCTCAAATTCAAACTACAACGTCATTTAACTCTACTAGTCTAACATCAAATAACAAAGCAGGGACACAAGCATTTATGTAGAAAATTTTCAAATAAATTTAGGATAAAAACTACGGATAAAGATAGAAGAATTTCACAATGAGAAATTAATGTTATAACCTCTCTCTATTTTAAGGAGATAAACAACATTAATATCTCTTAAATAGGAGAAAACCTCTAACTCTC